TGTTGATTTTGTTGTAAAATCATGTAGACTTTGATCAATAATTTGGTTTCTTAAAAAATATATTCACTTTGATAAAAAAGTTGATTTTCATGTAAAATTTTGATTTCATAGTAATGTTGACTTTTAAAAAATGTTATTGTGTTGGTGGTTTTTATTTTTATTTGGGTGGCATTTGTCCCAGGTGGCATATGTGCGGGGGGCTTTTGTCTAGGTGGCATTTGTACCAGGCCCACTCGGAGGCTAGGCAAAGCAGGTGACAAAATTAAATGACAGCAGATTGTGAGAACATATAGCTTTCATTTTTCACAACAATTGTCACGATTTCTGTTCCTGCTGAGCTGTAGGCTCGTTCGATATCGCGATAATGCACCGAGGAGATCATCAAAGGAGTGGATTGCTTAAAGGTCACATGCAACCAAAAAATCAAACACAGTTATCACTTATTTATGACATATTATATACATTCTGATTATGAAAAAACATATAAACAAAATTAAAAGCGTACAATAGCAAATCAAAAGTGCAATATTTTGTACTTGGGGTTACTTCCCTAGAAACGAAGCAGCCGGGATACCGAACCCAGTCAGAGCGGGTGGGTGTGCACTCAAGTGTAACGGCTGGTTCATTTGCCGATGACCTCACGGCTCATTGTGTGTGTATAGACAGACAGACAAGACAGACAAAATAGTTTATTTATGTGTTACGTTTATTTATGTGTCAAAAAATGGCAACGGTAAAAAGACATAGAAAAATACAAACACCAGGCCAGATGGCCAATGAGGCACACTAGACAATATGTGCATAAAATGTATAAAATATAAGATTAAAACATTAAGGAGTATCACACATATGAAAGACTTAAGGAAAAAGAAAGAAATTTATAGGGATGATAGCTTATGCCGAGGATTGTAGCTTGTTCAGTGTTTGATAACTGAGCAAAATTTGGGTATAAGATACTAGTTTTTTCTAAACAAATCATACCGAAGATCAGAATAATCCATCTCGTAAACTTCCGAAAAATTGCCTATGTGGAAAATTCCAAAGTCAGCGTCAAAATCCACGGAGTTGTTGTTGTTATGATCCGCCATCATTGTGGTCAAACGGAAGTAGTTTTCTCAATAAGATTTGTTAATGCGCGGTGAAGCGGCCTTACAATCAGATGAGCGTCAATCCACAATTGATGCCGTCTGATTTTTCTGAACAACCAATCAGAATCAAGTATTTTCTTGATTCATGGTGGAATTGGGTATAAGATACTAGTTTTTCTAAACAAATCATACCGAAGATCAGAATAATAAGGACAGCTAACTAAGAAATGGACTTTGTCTTCGACAGCCTGACTACTACAGTGGCGACAAAGCCTGTCTGCAAGTGGCGTCGCAGGACGAGAAAATCTACCACGTTCTATTTCTAATGGAAGTGTACCACAGTTTACCTAGAGCGCTACGGTGCCATCTGGGCAGTATAGCAGTAATGTATGGTTCTGGTGTAACAGTGTACTTAAACTGTCTATATGTGCGTAGCTTATTACCGTTGGGATTACCCTGGTCATTCCACAATTCCCGTAGCAACTCCTGATGATCTAACAACTGTATATGTTGAAATGACAAAGTCAATTCACTACTAGACATGTGTAGCAAGTCTTGCACTGGGAGTTGCAACGATTGTAATAAAGATGACACTGTGTTATCCCATGATTTGGCTAAACGCCGTGACCAGCTGCTAATAACAGAAGGCAATCTATCAGATGCCATAACTCAACCCAAAAGCGTAATACTTCTGTTCTTTGTTTTGACAAAGTACTAGTCCATCCCATATCACCCCTTACTGCCAAATTAGGGGTTTTGCTATTTACACCAATGAAAAATCGACAAGCACGGTTCTGTACTGCACTTATACAATTAAAATCCTTAGTTCCATGAGACATATAGAACTTGGTGTAGGGCTGGGTGCATCAACGGGACGGTGTGTGACTACATGGGACATATAGACCTGGGTGTAGGGCTGGGTGCATCAACGGGACGGTGTGTGACTACATGGGACATATAGACCTGGGTGTAGGGCTGGGTCGATCAAGGGGACGGTGTGTGACTACATGGGACATATAGACCTGGGTGTAGGGCTGGGTCGATCAAGGGACGGTGTGTGACTACATGGGATATATAGACCTGGGTGTAGGGCTGGGTCGATCAAGCGGACGGTGTGTGACTACATGGGATATATAGAACTGGGTGTAGGGCTGGGTCGATTAAGGGGACTTTGTGTGACTACACGGGATATATAGAACTGGGTGTAGGGCTGGGTCGATCGAAGGGACGGTGTGTGACTACATGGGATATATAGAACTGGGTGTAGGGCTGGGTCGATTAACGGGACTTTGTGTGACTACACGGGATATATAGAACTGGGTGTAGGGCTGGGTCGATCAAGGGGACGGTGTGTGACTACATGGGATATATAGAACTGGGTGTAGGGCTGGGTCGATCAAGGCGACGGTGTGTGACTACATGGGATATATAGAACTGGGTGTAGGGCTGGGTCGATCAAGGGGACGGTGTGTGACTACATGGGGCATATAGACCTGGGTGTAGGGCTGGGTCGATCAAGGGGATGGTGTGTGACTACATGGGACATATAGACCTGGGTGTAGGGCTGGGTCGATCAAGGGGACGGTGTGTGACTACATGGGACATATAGACCTGGATGTAGGGCTGGGTCGATCAAAGGGACGGTGTGTGACTACATGGGACATACAGACCTGGGTGTAGGGCTGGGTCGATCAAGGGGACGGTGTGTGACTACATGGGATATATAGAACTGGGTGTAGGGCTGGGTCGAGTAAGGGGTCGGTGTGTGACTACATGGGACAAATAGACATGGGTGTAGGGCTGGGTCGATCAAGGGGACTTTGTGTGACTACATGGGACATATAGACCTGGGTGTAGGGCTGGGTCAGTCAAGTGGAAGGTTTGGGACTATATGGGGCATATAGACCTGGGTGTAGTCCTGGGTGAATCAAAGGGATGGCGTGTGACTACATGGGATATATAGAACTGGGTGTAGGGCTGGGTCGATCAAGGGGACGGTGTGTGACTACATGGGACATATAGACCTGGGTGTAGGGCTAGGTCGATCAAGGGGACGGTGTGTGACTACATAGAAATATAGACCTGGGTGTAGGGCTGGGTCGATGAAGTGGAAGGTTTGGGACTACATGGGACATATAGACCTGGGTGTTGGGGCTGTGTGGATCAAGGGGTGCATGTGCAATACAGTATCAAGGGGAGGTGGGGAGCAATGTCGGATTTAAGGTATGGGACTATAAAGGACATACAGGGGCTGTGTGGATGAAGAGGTATATGTGAGACAACATGGAATATGAAAATCAGAATGTAGGGGCCGTGTGGGGCTATATGTACTTGTGTGAATATATACTCAATAACAACAATTTAGCAACACCCAGTGAAACAGTCCAATAAACAGAAAGAAATGAGGATAAGAATCGCTGCAAACTTTACTTTGACTATTTTCGATTACAAAACTAAAACAAACAGTTGTGAAGTCATTACAAAATGGAAGCAGGTGCACTACACAGTGAGAGGGTTGGATCAGTGAAATTCACACACACAAACGAGAAGAGGTCAGTAACGAGTGTGTCGGCCCTCAGCTTGCTGTACCACCACACAACGTTTTCTCATGCTTATGATGAGATGCCGAACCTGATGAAAGGGGATGTTTCCCCATTCCAGTTGAAGGACATTGCCAAGGTCGTTGACATTCTGGATGTTAGGGTGGTTCTTCTGCAAGCTTCTCTCGACAATGTCCCAGGCATGTTCGATTGGGGCAAGGTCTGGTGACCTTGCTGGCCACGCTAAGACGTCAATGTTGTTGTGCTGGAGCAGATTTTGAGTCAGGCGAGCTGTATGTGGACGTGCATTGTCCTGTTGGAAAAGGTGTCCGGGACGTTGCCTAAGGAAGGGTATGACCAGTGGCGTTATGACGAGATCACAATCTCACTGAGCTGTAAGGGTGCCGTTTATCACAATAAGATCAGTTTATCAGCAGAACGGAGACGATTACGGACGAGCTGTGGATGCACTCGTGTTCCTGTAGTCCGCTGAAGACTTTGAGCAAGATCTGGTGCACTGGCAAATCTGTTGCGGCGTGATGACGTCACAAGATGACGATCTTCACGTGGCGTCGTTTTCCGAGGTCTGCCACTGCGTGGGCGGTCTTTCACTGTTCCAGTTTGTGCATGGCGTGACTGGAGACGTGAAATGGTACTGTGGTGGATCTGAAAATGTTTGGCAACCTGTCGTAAGCTCATCCCGGCTCTCAGCATTCCAGTGGCTTCATGTCTGGCATTTTCGGGCGTTCCTCTGTGACGCCCCATTGAGTTACAACCTTGTGATGTGGTGGTTTTTTTTTGTCTGACAGTTAGCAGTTCTGACGTGTGCAATTGTTTTCAAAATGATTTTAAAGACTGAATTACAGTGGGACCCACATTCAGTTAAATCACGTGCATTGTAGCCCACAGGATGCACGTGCGCTTGTTATAGCCCAATTCGGTGTGTTTGTGCGAAGTGACATGTCAGTTCTTACCAGACATTACTGACTTCATAATTACATTTCTGGAGTTTACAATTGGCAAGATTTGGGTGTTGTTAAAACTTTTGTATTGGTGTAGGGGTTTTGTGAATCATGGTGTATATGAGGCTCTCCATGGAAATTGCAAGCCAAGCAAGAATGAACAATATACATTTTTTCCGAATTTATTCATTAAAGGAAAAGCGAAAAAATGTTTCTAGAACTAAATGCGATAATGTATGATTCAATCTGTTAATGCCAAATATCTCAAATACACCTTTTTAACTGAAATATCGGTCCAACCTGCCAATTTTAACTATGAAAAGAATGGCGTGTATTCCAGGGGAAGGTATCCCCACACATTTTATAACCATGCTTGATGTCTTCGTCTGATCTGCTTGTGTCACAAACACCCGGAACATCAACAAGTTGCAAGTCGTACCCAAAGCGAGTAAAGCAATTCTGCTTACATTTTTCTGTAACAGATTTTGCACTTGATACTGCTTCGAATATCTTTGTAATACATATTGTATTCCCTGTTTCACTTTTACCTACTCCAGTCTTTCCAACAAGCCCCATTCGAATTTCCCTGTCCAGAAAACGGATATGATTTCCTGTGAAGGAGAATAATTGTGATCTCACACACTCTTTCAAACAGTTATATCACATGATATTCACTCTTTATTTTTTAACCAACTGTCATTAGAAAGTGGTAAGATCTAATACTAGTTTGCAAGTACTGATTTTCAGCTTGCTTATTATTGTGCTCATGGGTATGATCACAACCTAAGATTTATTGACATGACTGTAATACTCTCATTTTACTCAGTTCTGGCCACATGCTAAGCTAATGACAAGGAACCACCCGAGTCCTAACTATCTGATCAATCAGCTCAGTTTAAAATATCAACGCCCTAGAACAATATATTTTTATCCGTGTCTAACGTGCGCCAAAACAGATTCCGTATGTCCTTAAAGTCCTAACAGGAATAACATCACTGAAAATCTGACATGACACCAATTGTTTGTGAAGAAGATAACCATGTCCGCTCTGCGAGTAGAACTCATCACTATTTCCGTAAAAGGTAAGCATTTCATTGTGTGTTGTACAATATTAAAAGAATGGTGAGAATATATTTTAGTTTGACACAGTTCCACACAAGCGCGTTTGCAGCTCCAAAGCAGTTTTCTGAACTTGAACACATTTTATAATAGTAAACAAATACCTTTGTCAGCCATTGCGAAGTGTTTTGCCCTTTGCACAGTCTGTAATGAACAGAAAATAGTATCAAGGCATTGTGTACATCCCTGTCCAATGTCGAAATAATAGACACTGTTGGTCTGTTGTTCGGTTGTTCTTCATCTCTCTAAACATATATTTTATTCAACACACTTTTCAGGTCCTTCTGCTTCTATGAGTTTGTTCGTCACGATATGGCTGAAATATTGCCGATGTGACGTTAAATATTACCTCACTCACTCTATGAGTTTGTGTTTACAGGACGAGGCATATTTAATAATTGTGAATCCCTACATGGAATTATATATTTATTTCAATAATAGACACCAAAAACAGAGACATGTTATACTATCATATTTACAATACGAAGCACGGCGATAAAATACCGTCAGCACATCACAATGCAATTCTAGAACCCCATTGTCCAGAAATCCTCCGCGTCGTACCAGTCTCTGACAAGGGATTTCACAAAATGCCATATGCCATCTTCATGATACATACTAAGAATGCAAAATGAAAACAATATTTCCTAAAACTTACAACAATTCACCCATTTCATTTCCTTGTGTCTTCAGGTATCATGATACGATTCAGCATATCGTAAAGCATTCTTTTACAGGACAACGGATTTATTTGAAAACGTCAGTGCTCGATTGTTTACCATTTTGGGCATGCATGGTATCCGTTACGAAACTCGGAACAAGAACTCCTGTAAAAGGGCCAGTCTACAATTGGTCTTCAGTAACCCCATGCTTGGCGACTAACGGGGTCGCGTAGTCAGGTCCGCTGACAAATAGATGCATGCCATAGTATCCCAGCTGCGTAAATCGATGTACATCATGCCAATCTCTTGATTGTCTGTTCAAGATTTTCACACTATATTTGTTGAATGAAGGCAAAATATGTTGAATTATGTGCCATGATACTTGCATCTGAAAATAGTCTCGCCCACAGGCCAAACAGTATTTTGATAATGCTACTAGACATTTGCTAGAATTTCGCTGATTTAAGTCACAATAAGTTGAATTATGTATCAAGATACATGTAGACACAATGTCAAAGACATGAATGAATACACATGCATCGTTTAACATGTAGCTGACTTCTTGTCCAAACATGTAGCAGTGAATCAGCACTAAAAGTATCAGCAGTACTCACCCGCTGTGTGCTCGCAGTCAGGTTCCTGCTGTAATTCAGCATAGCAGGGCCGTCGCTGGTTTATACCAGTGTTTAAAACTCCCAAAATTCCAAGCCAGACAGCCGGACTGGTAATTTAAAAAAATTACGTCCGGATACAAACGTGCCTGTCCGATCTTCAACAACAACAAAAAAAAAAGAAAGAAAAAAAAGGTTTCTGAATACTTTACTGTTTGTAGGCATCGCAATGAACAACACAGCATTAACAGGCAATGCACCGAGTTTAGGTAAACAGAAAGTACATGTGTTGTGATTGGTTATTGTAAAATTAAGTGTCCAATCGTAAATACTTTAACATAATTATCATGATGCTTTAAACACCTCAAACCGACGACGAGAGAACCTGTCTGATATTATGAAATATTAACTGTTAAGGGTAGACACATCTACCAGACCACCGGACAGGCTACTTTTGAAAGTTGACCGTCCGAGATGAAAATAGACCGTTCCGAACAGTCGGGCAGGCAGGAATTTTAAACGCTGTCTATACTCATACATTTCAGGTACAGTTAGTCACATGCCAAGACCAATTCAACCGAACACACCATCCGGGCCGGGTGAGAGCCTCGTCAAATGTGGGACATCATGTGGCGTTCTACTCGTGTCAGGCGTTGTTTCCAGGCGAAAATGGCAACCACGTTGCTTTATGGTCCCACTAGGCAAAATCTCGAGAAGCAGAAGGAGAAGAATCAGAAGATAAAGAAGAAGTAGAAGAAACAGAAGGAGGGAAAGAAGATCATTATATATACTCTCCCAAAAAAGAAACGTATAATGAAAATAGCAATTGCATGTAGCAATGAATTAAAACGTGACTCATTTTACAAAAGGTTTTGCTCTGTTTATGAGTCCTATGGTGTTTATGATTTGAAACATCACAACAAAACGCACTATCCGTAAAATACAAAATTTAACAGCATGATTTTCAATTTCTGCGTGTAGTGTCACAGAATACACAATTCACATGCAATGCACGTGAAAGTTGGGGATCAGATAGTCTCAATGATGGGTATAAAAGGTTGATCGCTGTCTGTCGATTATTCACTGTATTTGGAATATTGTTGACGAACGCAAAATGCCACGCCTGAGTGAAGCCAACCGTCATATCGCCATTGGTTTGCTTGAAGCCAAAAACCTACCGAATTGGCGTAGAATCTGGTTCAATGATGAATCACGATTTCTATTGGAACGACGCGATGGAAGAATGCGGGTGTACAGACGTCGACGTGAACGTTTCGCCGACGCTTGCGTTCCCCAGGTGGACAGATTCGGCCGGAACAGTGTTATGATGTGGGAGGATATAACCTGCCGTAGGAGAAGTGATTTGGTGATGATCAACGGTACGGTTCCCAATCATTGATCGCCAGAGGGAGTTGTTTCAACAGGACAATGCCAGGCCCCACACAGCACGTCACACTCGAGACTTCCTCCAGAACCACAACATCAATGTGCTCCCCTGGCCCTCAAGATCACCGGGTTTAATTTAATTTAAACCCGATCGAACATCTGTGGGATGCCCTGGACAGACGGGTGTGACGCCGTAACCCTCAGCCCCAGACACTTCAGCAACTCGCACAGGCACTACAGGCGGAGTGGGCTGCGATTGGGCAACACGAGATTCTGAGACTTATTCGTTCGATGAAGGCGATGCCGTGCAGTTCTGGATGCCCACTGTGGTCACACGAGGTATTGACTTCAGCGCCACCACACGTCTCCATGTGACACTCAAACTGACTTTCCTCGAGTTGGTGCAAAAGACGGATATGTCTGCATTCCCAGTGTGCAATTTCGCTATATTTCATTGACTCATAAAGTCTACAAGATGTTTCAAAATAAACATAAAAATACAGTTGAAATTCCTATATGCGTTTCTTTTTGGGGAGAGCATATTAGTATTGTGTCACACATACAAAGGTGACAGCAAATATATTCAATCTGTAAAACATACAATGTGCTGCCAAGCGACCTATAAGAAACTCAAGCACCATATACATATCAATGAACAGTTCAGATAAACACATCAGATATATACACAGCATCTATAGACGGCATAGTAACATATAGGAACACCGGTAAATGAAGGAACAACATCCAAATTTAAACAATATTAATTAATATAATTCCGGCTCGCCAAGTTGACGTATCAATGCAAATGCCCTAGTGGAAGGAGAACTAAAAGAAAATAACGCAAAGAAAAAAATTAATTGACCATCAAAGTCGTCAAACTATTATACAAATGTATGAACTGTTAAAAAAGTCAACATCATGAGTATCGATCTACGCGATTGGGAACCGATGACATGTGCCAAATCATGTTAGCGAGCCTGACCACCTGATCCCGTTAGTCGCCTCTTACGACAAGCATGGATTACTGAAGACCAATTATAACCCGGATTATCAGGGGTAATGTTATCGTATGTGGCACGATATGCTATTATAAACATTTTGGGAAATAATATCAGCCAATAAAATATGATCGTGATACCAGTGATGTTACCATCAATAGTCTTTTTGCCAAGTTAATTGAACTGTCTACAAATGAACTAATTATAAAGTGTCTTTTAACTATCTATAAGTGTTCATGAATTGTTATATCTTTGGAAATTGTTACTGTTTACATATACTAACGCAATTCAGTTTGAACGCATACGGTTCCTTGGGTAGAATACGGTATCGCCTGGCTGCTGTAAAAAGCTGTTAGTTGCAGACACTGTCTTGCTGTTATTATCTAACACGCAGTATATCCCAAACTGGCGTCAACTCAATTCCCTCGCACAATCAACTTTGATTTTAATGTTTTATTTTGACAACGGCCTCTGAGGAGCATTCATGCTTGAAATGTGTCAGTAAATAGCGTCTGAACTCGAACCCTACCTCGTCTGGTGGAGTACATCGCTAACTATTATCTAACCTGCAGTTACACGTCTTCTCGGATTTCAGCTTATCACTGGATTCCCGAGGAATGGGTTTTACCAGCATGTGATTGCTTGTACACGCTTTATAAACAGGGTGAAAGAAGACACTGATCGTCATAGAAGCAGTTGTCCTCAGCGTGTCAGTGTAAAGGTATTTTAGTTTCAAGGTTATGTTTGCAGTTGCTTGTCTGGTACCTGTATTATATACATTTCAGGTTGGAGCAGAGATTGGTGATTAGCGTTAAGCAGACTGACTCACCACACTGAGATAAATGTCAAATGAAGGAACCTGACGTAACAGATATGTAAAAATAATACAAAAGTAGGTGAATGTTTTTGCAAATACTCCTTGTCGTTGGATGGCTGGTTTGTTGTTTAACGCCGCACTCAGCAATATTCCAGCTATATGGCGGCGGTCTGTAAATAATCGAGTCTGGACCGGACAATACAGTGATCAACAATATCGATTCACGCAAATCGGATACGTTGATCAATATGTGCACAAGATGTCGGCGAGCTTGACCACCAATCTACTTCCGTCCAAGATGTACCCAAGGAAACATATACAGTTTGTTTTCTGTTATACATATATTAGGAAATATCAAGGTGAATCAACTTTTGTTTATGTGATTGTGAATTAATTGAAAGTGATTATGTGGCATTTGATTGATAAATCTAAACTAGCGACCTACTTGCGAGACATTCCGGTGTCCAGTCTCCATCAGGCTTTGGCAACAAACTACAAGTTGATCTCCAGTCACTTTCACTTGATTCAATCTTGCCATGATCCCGCATGTACTGGACCTCCTTCAAGGTTTCAAGCTTGATTGGATTCAACCTGTAAGGATGTTCTCATATGGTTACACTGTGTGAAGCAAATTTGTGGTGTCCCCTGCAGTGATATTGCTGGAATAATGCTAAAAGCGGCGTAAAACCATACTCACTGTAGGGATGTCCCGACATAGGCACAATGTGTGAAGCCGTTTCTGGTTTTCCCCGCCCTGATATTGCTGAAATATTACTAAATGCGGCGTAAAACCCAACTCACTCACTTACCTCAGATGGGTACAATGATTGACAGCACGTCTGCAGTGTCCCCTGCCGTGAATTTGCTGGAATATTGCTCATTTTAAGCGGCGTAAAACCTCACTTACTCACTGTAAGGATGTCCCAACATGGGCACAATGTGTGAAGCCCATTTCTCGTGTCCCCGCCGTGATAAACTCACTCACTAACTGTAAGGATGACGTAAATCTGCATCATGACACAATAAATCTCTACATCTTGAAACAAGTGAGTGAGCTGGTTCCAACACGAAAGTGAAATGATTGATCACAATTGTGTAGCTTATGGCAAGCATAGTCAGCAATACCATGGTTATTTTACTAACGGGATCACAGGTGCAGATATACACTCTCCACAAAGAAACGCAAAGGCGATATTGATAGATGAAATTTCAAATATTTTTCAAACTTAGTGTTTGATTGTTATAATTTCGGCATCAGAATGTTGGTTTGTGTACATGGAACGAACGCACAGCGCAAAAACGCATAATTCGGTAACTTTAATGCACGCTTACGGTTGATAGTGTCAACTTGCATGAAAATGCCATGGAGAAAAAGTGATTCGCAACGTGCACGTCCAGTTCTGAGGAACCGTGAACAGGGACATTGCCTATATAAGGCCGGATTACCACTGCAGTCGTCTCAAACCGTTTGTAATCGTTACGAGAAGCTGGACTTCGAGCCAGACCCAGAGGTGCAATAAAGTTCGATCCTGAAATCTACACAACTTGCAGCGTGTATATTTCAGTGACAAATCATGCTTTCTGCTTCAAAGTCTTGACGAAAGATTACGAGCTATTGACGTCGAAATGAACGTTTTGCACGGAATTCTGTCCCCCAGGTTGACCAATATAGTCGTGGTAGTGTCATGATATGGGGAGCCATATCCTACATGCAGAAATCTAACTTGTGCCCCTTCAGGGCAGTTTAACTGATATTCAATACAGAGATGAAACATTAAGGATTCACATGGTTCCGATCATTGAGGGAGTTGTTTCAGCAAGATAGTGCCACA